GGACCTGCCCTACCTCCCTATACAGTGGAGCAAGCAAAACACCATTCTCAGACTTCTGCAATGGGCAGGGCTGGCCCCCGAGTACCTGTGGATGTTTTGCACTCTGCTCTCGCTTCACCCTAACTCCACCACTACCTAAGACTTAGCAGCTTTGTCTTCTAGCTTTGTCTCCTGCTCTTCCCAACACCCCAACGCAGACCCAAGTCCACACCAACGGTTCTCAAACTTGAACCTGCTTCAGAATCACCTGCAAGGCTTGCTAAAAGACTGCTGGGCTCCATCCACAGAGTTCAATTCAAGATGTCCGAAATGTTGGGAGGGTGGAGTGGGTCATGAATTCACATTTCTAACAATTTCCAGGTGATCCTGATGCTGCTGGTCCCAGGGGCTCCACTTTGAAAACCCAACTGGTTGAAGCCTGATAATAAATGCTTTGGAGCACTTGCCATGGACCACATTATTTTATATGGTCATATCTCAATTCACTTCTTCCTCCCTCTCATTTGGGAAGATTCACTGCAGTCTTTCTCTGTCCCCAGCTTTCAGCCCACCTGCAAGGCTAGCATAGGGTCTAACCACGCCCTCCAAATACTCCTACCTCTCTACTCTCTCATCTCCCGCTGACTCAGCAATCACAATGGCCAAGTCCAGTTTATCTCTGAATCCTCAGGACAGTGTTCCGGCCAAGCTAGTATGTGCTCAGTGACAGGACTTGGGCCAAAGCGGACTCTTACGTCATTGAGAGGAGACATTTGATGAAAACTTTTGGGAGGCAGTGGCTCTGTTTTTCTGGTCCGGAGAACACATGAGATTGGAGAGTGCCAACAGATTCATGGCCTTACCTGAACATGACTGAGACCCCCCAGAAATGAGGAAAGCCCCTAGAGGTCTTCCTGCCCAGGGTAATGCTGACCTAGACTTCATAACAAGGCAGCAGAGACATCGGGGTTAAGAGATTCAGCATTGGGCCCATGCAGCGCGACTTCGAGACAGATGATAGATAGACAGACATAGACATGCAGACAGACAAATAAATTAGGTTAAAGAGATACAGACAGATATATAGACAAATAAATGAGGTAGATGAGATTAGATTAGATAGAGATAGAGATAGTTATATAGATTTATAGACGGCTTTCCATAAGTCTTAGTTGTCAGACACAGAGGGACAGATAGAGCAAAAGGAATAAACTCGAAGGAAAACAGAGAGGGTATAACCTAAATTCATGCAGAATACTTACCCTGTGATTCATGATTCTTACAAAGTAATGGCAATTTTAAAAGTATCCAAAAAAAGCCAATAGCAAAGGCTTAGCCCCTACAGGTTGCATCAGAATACAACGGGAAAAGAGAACCACAATGGGTACTGAAAATAGAAGGGATACAGTGCAGAGAACTGGTCTCACAGGTATAGGATGCCTGAGAGACCAGACAGGGCTGAGAAAACCTAAGGTAGGCAACAGAATGAAGCCCTCCCTAACATTCTGGGGCTGGAGCCGGCAGGTTTGGGGGCGGGGGGAGAGGGGGGACAAATTTTCCCTGCCAACGTCCAGAGAGTAAGTATTCAGGCTTCAGGCTGTTAGGTCTCTGCCCCAACTGCAATACTCTGCAGCTGCCAGGTAGAGACAATGCTTACCCAGATGGGTACCGCTGTGTTGCAACATTACCTGCAAACACAGACATAGGGCTAGATTTGTGCCCTTGGGCTGAGGTTTTGCAAGTCCTGGGTAGTGAGGCAAAAAGAGTAAATACTAGAGTCAGGCTCACCTGGTAGAAGCTGAAACCATGGCAGGTCTAAGGGAAAATGCAAAATACTGTCCATGTCCAGACACCACATGAAACAGAGGGAAAAGGGAGATATACCCTGGAAATTCTCCTACCCGGTAGTATCCTACCAATTCTTCTCATGGTATAATGCCAGTTGGAGGCCACCTGACAGGGGAACCTAGAAAACATATCCTGTGGTTATCAGCCTCTGTAATAACAGAGAGGAACAAAGATAGAAGAATATGAAGCTGAACAGCCCAAAGACTGGCACCACTACTCAACTAATTTCATACATAGAAGTGGTATAGGTCAGGTCTCTTACTTCGGATTATTGGTATACCCAGTATAAACCAGTGGTCAAAAGAGGGGCTATGTAAAAAATCCATATTTATCGCAGGACAAATGCATGTACAATAAAGGAAATTCTAGGAAAGGGGAATTGTGATCAGCCACAGGACCAGCAAAGACCCAAAGAAAGCACAGGGGAAGGGTGTGGGCGTGGGTGCACAGATTTCTAAATATAATCAGTGATTTCTCAATTCCATCTTTTATCACTGTGGGTTTTTTTTCCCCATTAAACTATCTGATATTAGAGAAGTCACTGCTGTTAATTTTCTCTAAGTGTTAAATGCATTAGAAAGAGAGTAAGATTTGGAAACAGGTCTACTCACAGAAAAGATTATGTATAATAAATAGCTAAAAAGAGCTAGTTATCTGACTCAGGCCCTGTTAAATCAAACTCTCAATTCTCACGTTAAAATGCTCATCAGAAGGTAAACAGAGGCTCTGGGTGAAACCAAAACCTAGTTTTTTTAAAGGCAATCTCTATGTATTTACTACATTACGGTCAAGGTCAATGGAGTAAGAAAACACTTTAGAAGAGAGTCTGCCATTCTGGGCCCCTTTGGATGGTGCAAAATTATAAACTTATGGGGTTTAAGAGGCAATTACCCAAATAAAGTTAAGCCATTAAAAGACTAAGATTGAGGTGAAAAAGTCAATGACATTTTATAGAGAATATATTACTTAGGACTAGTAAAATTTTAGATACTCATAGCATAGTAATCTCTACATCAAACTTCTGTTGCCTCATTTTTAAATATAATATGGAAAGCCTTAAAAAAAAAAAGAAGCTTACAGTTTAAAAAATACCAAGATAGGTTGATCAGGGTATTTTAACTACTTTTACGGAGGGTTAATCATCACGCCTGCAGATTTTCCATGGGACTCATTTTCATAAGTCAAATTAGAAGCTCCCTCACTTCCTCCGCAAAAACTGCAAACTCTAAGTAGCAAAAAGCCAACCTAACAACTGAAGTTCTTCACCAACACATAAACTGCATCTCTCATGTAAGATCATGAGTGGCATTCAATGAGCTGTACTCATCGAAGGTTTTATTAAACACAGGCCCCAGGTCTGGGCATTTATTAAGTCTCTGAGCCCAGCACAGTGAAGACAAAATTCTAGAAACGACCACAAGAGGGGAAAAAAGAACACAGCAGCTCGGTGGTAAGACACAAGTCTGCAATACAGATATAAATACTGGTTTCCAGGATCTTCTGCGCCTTTCGTATTTGTGATATCTTTATCCAGGCCGTCAACATTTCTTCTCTCCCTTCTCACTCCTTTGGTCATTCTCCCATAACCTCTCCTGTCCTCCCTAGACTCCAATATTCCCCAAGCTCACAATTTTTCTTTCTCGCCTTTATGTTCTCCCACAAACTGCCAGAGCTCTTCCACAGGCCGGAGCTCCCTAACTAAAGATGGTTATTGATGTACAGTACCAGTGTTTTAGTGCAGCAGTAGAATCAATAAAAGAGAAAATACTGCTTTGTCAGGCTTCTCCAAAGCATGCCGGGAAACTTTACTGCTTTGGATGGTTACAGAAGCTCTTAATATGGGACAGCAAGAGTGGGGCTCCCTTCCGTGGCAAGAAATGATGCTCTTCTACCCTCTAGTGACTATAAAGGAATAAGACAAAAGTTGGAGGAATTTTTGAGACAGCTTCACATTATTAATGGTCTCTTAATTTTATTTCTAAAAAAAAACAAAACAAAACCAAAAAAAAAAAAAAAGTCTTGTAAACCAAGTGAACTGGTTAATAAAACAACTTATTGTGGTCATTTTTAGAGTGTATAAAATGCAAAGGATACACATTTTATTAAGAGGTGGGCTTTGATTCCTTTGGATTTTAAAAAAGGTTTGAAAAGTTTGTCTTTCTTTCCAAATGACTAGTGTTAGTCAGGGGACAATTCTGTCTCTCTCTCTTTCACACATACACACAAACACACACTTTTTACAAACTCACAAAGCCTTTGTTTCAACTGCCTTATTTTACAGAGAAGTAAACAACTGAAGAACCATGAGGTTAGAAATGAGAGTGGGCATGCATTTGTGCACTTAAGTGTATGTATCAATGTATATACAATGTATATACAAAGATTGCAGGGGTATCTGCCAAATACACACACACACACACACACACACACACATCACGGTCACCTCCATGTTGGTTCTTTCTCTTTAAAAAGTAGCAGAGCAGTGAAATTAAGGTATAAATACTTTCTTGGTTTTGTTCATGTTCCCACCAACTTTGACATGTAGTCACTCACGACGTACCAATTTAATAACCAGACAGATTAACCAATGCTTTGTTACCTTGTACAAGGAGAGCTTTTACGAATTGGACAACAGTTTATAATCGCTTAAAAAGATACTAGCAATGTAAAAAAAAAAAAAAAAAGTCACTGGTACTTCATGAAGAAATCTTTCAAGAAACTCTCAGCAACAAAGGTAACAAATGGTAAAATAAGACCAATAGAAGAGAGATTTATAAAATATACTGCAGAGTCCTCTCCATTAATCTTTTCATTGCCCCTACAACACCAAAGCTAGTTTCCATCTAGTGGTATATAACTTTACCTAAAGGACGAATTCTAACAGCACTAAACTCCAAATAATCCAGACTTAATGAAGTGTAACATTCTAACATGCCTGGTACATATAAAATGTCACCGCGAAAACATGTATAAGTTCCAACATCTGGTTATGCCCTTATTAAATGAAATTTAAAAGGGAGGTTGTTTCCTTCTTATTCATAGCAACAGTGAGAAGAAGAGAATGTTGTTACTACGTATAAAGGTTGGATAATACCATTCAAGTGCACATCTGTGTTTGCAACAAAGATGAACTTTTCCCCAAATGATGTAAAGAAAAAGACAAGTATATTTACCTTGCTGGTACTCAATCGCTTCCGATTTGACCAACGCTGGAGATTGAGTCCATTGGATGGTGAAAAATGGCAAAAGGAAACAGAGAAATCGAATCATTAATAACATAATTCCATTATTATATTAGTTAGATGGTGCACACTCTATTCAAACAACTAACACCCAAGTTCTGAGGTTACAGAGAAAATACATTTGAGCAAAAAAATGGAAACAGAAAAATCACATTTCTGTGGTTGTGTGGCATCATTTTCTCCTAGTATTCACTAATAAGAAGACAAGACATATGAATACCGCTCAATCTTTAGAAGTACCAGTTCTTAGTATGAGAAGACTCTCGACCCTTAAAATGCTTTTAATTGCCTTAAAGCTCTATAATTTCATGTCTAAAAGCAAATTGCAAAGGCAGATTTCTCCTACTTGAAATATTTAGATAGTATTCTAAAAATATTTAAGAAGTTCATGGACAATGTTAGTGCATGCTTAGGCTTCCATACCTTTAGATAAAAAAAAAAAAAAATCATTCCATTTACCCCCAATAATCAAATCTCAATCTTTAAGATAACAGGAGGAAAATATCTGAGCTGTTCCTGCACAATTAAGAAAAATAGGCTAATACAGCACCAAGGGAGGGAAGGACAAATTTTCCGAACAGCAAGTAACTTCACCACTGTTCTCTTTTGATCTCTCATTTGTCATGCTAAGACTGCTGAATTTTGTCTACAATTAAAATTCTTTCCTAGCAAAATCCTCTCATTACCCCTGTCACCACCCAGGACTGTGAAGCTCTACTCTGGCTGGTTAACCAGCTAACTGGATGTTCAAACTTGGATAAATTTGGGAGATTACAGCGCAATTATGAATCTAATCGAGCAGACCACATTTACTATTATGCTTAAGGAAAAAATACCTTTAGGCAAATGACCTATCCACTTTGCCAATACGTCTTTGCAATCCATTAGAAACCAGAAAATAGACAGTCTTTGGGGGAAATCCACTTACATTCCAGTGACCAGCAACTACAAACACTGTACAGAAATGACTTCAACATACTCTTTATTAAAAACACCTCCCCTGGGCGCCTGGGTGGCTCAGTTGGTTAAGCGAC